GTAGTTCCCTGCCTTGTACCCTGTGATGAGTTGGCGCCCCATCCGGGGTAGTTCCCTGCCTTGTGCCCTGTGATGAGTTGGCGCCCCATCCGGGGTAGTTCCCTGCCTTGTGCCCTGTGATGAGTTGGCGCCCCATCCGGGGTAGTTCCCTGCCTTGTGCCCTGTGATGGGTTGGCGCCCCATCTGGGGTATTTCCCTGCCTTGTGCCCTGTGATGGGTTGGCGCCCCATCCGGGGTTGTTCCCTGCCTTGCCCCTGTAGCCTCCAGGATAGGCTCTGGGCCCCCCTCCCTCACAACTCTGAATAGTTTAAGCAGTTGGATAGTTAAAGGATGGATGGACATTTGGAATTCAAACGCTTGTCTTATTAGATTTAATTCCAAACATAGTGGTAAATGTATGCTGGTCTAGTACACATGAAAATAAACCTGCTGAGTTTGTGGCAGTTCTGTCTCCATTAAATGCTGAGCTCGCAGTCTCACTCTGTGGTTGTTACCAAACCTCTGGCTCGGTCGTTCTTGCTTAATTTCAGGACTTTGCTGTTTTAATGCAGGGGTTTGGGCTACCTGCTAAACATGGAGGCGTATAAGGCTGTGTGTCCCGACCGTAATGAGATCCCTTTGGAAATCACCACTGTGATCAAGGTACCACCCTTAGAATATAACGCATAGCCATGGACGCATCTCTCCACGGCTGTGTGGCTGTTTCCTTCTGCTTGCACCTGGGGATGTTTTGCCTTTTAATGTATATTTTTATCTAACAGAAGAGTACGGCGGAATGGTACGAAGGGACCATTTCACACATTAAACCAGATGAAGGGGTGAGTTTGAAAAAAGACAAACTTTAGGTGTTTAGGAATTTGGACTAGTAACTGAAAAGGGAAATGTGAAATGTTTAGAACTATTTATTTGGGTAGTAAGTGTATATTTCTTCAGAAGAAAAACACAATTTAACATTAGAATATATGCTAATGAACACTAACAATAAAAAATAATGGCAAAAACAATAGGGTCCCATTACCTACTCTGTTTAGACCTTAAATACAAGAATTTCTTCTGTTTTTCAAAAAGTCTTGTTAGATGGTTAGATGAACACGCTTCAGTCCCCAAAGCTCTCCTCAGCGCCACCTCAGCCATTACATGAATTCATTAAATGTCACCACCAGCTCACTTAAATAATCAACTTAATTAATTAAATATCTCAGTGAGATGTTGATTAGCGAGCCATGGTATGCAAGTAGTTGAGTCAATACAACAGTTCTGGAAAAAATTAAGAGAACACTTATTATTTTTTTTTAATCTGCATTTTAAATCCTGGTTTAATCCTGGTTCTGCTGGCAGAAGGCTACACTGTGAGACAGGCTGCTTCCAGGATGTTTCTAAGACTGCAGTACACAAGAACCAGGTGAAGCAGGAGACACTGGGAATAAGAACATAAGAACATAAGAAATTTACAAACGAGAGGAGGCCATTCGGCCCATCAAGCTCGTTTGGGGAGAACTTAACTAATAGCTCAG